TTATGCCTTTTAGATCAGTGTAGGTAACAAAAGTTAGTTCATAAATGAATGCTTAAAATATGCGAATATTTTTCCCATTCTGAACAGTAACTCAGACTATTAATGCTACCAACTGGACATCAGAATAAAGATGCAAAGCTATATTAGCATAATTAGATGTTAAGCATTTATTATATACCATTCCCTGTTTGTAAATCAACATTGAAAAGCAGTGTAACCTTGGGTGGATTCATCTGACTTTCTGCTTTAAGTCATACTGAGTGTAATGATCTGTCTGCATTAAAACACTTAACATCCTTTTAATTTAAATGATATACATTTCAATCATTCATCTTTTATTGAAACTGCTGGAATTTACTGCTTTTATCCATGTCTGCATGGATACAACCAAAATTCTTGGGCATCTGCAGTATGTAAATGTGTATTTGATGTATTTGTTTGTAAGGCTTGTAGAAACAGGATTTCTTCATGTTCTTGTCACTGTAGCATATTTGGGACTCATAACATGAAGAACATCAGGTCTGAAGCACAAGAGCATGTAAATGAAGGGTTTCCACCTTTTGACTAAAGCAGGGATAGGGAACCTTCTTTTTTTCAGTTGAAGGGCCAAATACGTTTTCAGAGACGCTCTTTTAGCACTGCATTCTGCTGGTGAACTAAAAGGAAAGCAAGTGGGGTTCAAAATACAATAAGTAGCCACATATTTTAGTATAAGGCTAGTTACTAAGTCTTACTTTCACCCTTCTTGAATGGAGCAAAAAACGCATACAAACAAACAACAAATGATGGTGGATGGGGGAAAGAGGATGGAGCCATCAGGGAACCCCAGGAGGGCCAGATTTGCACCCCACACATGATGTTTCTCATCCCTGAGCAGTTATAGAAACACCTAGTTTAACATACATGTTAGTTTCTTGTCTGAGTGTAGTATTAATACATTCCTGTACCAACTGTCCACCAAGGCATCCAAGGCAGTTTCCACTTTTTAATATAGAAACTAACAAATGTTACCCCAAACCCCCTCAGGCACCAGAATATGGTTCTCTCTGGCTGACTGAAGGATCACTTTAGGAACTGAAAGCCTGAGATTCCTGGCTTATGCTTCTTAAGTTGTCTCAGGGAAGGTGGGGAGGAGCTTGCCCTATCAGTCTTCTGAGGCTTTTTGGGAGCTGATGAAACAAGCTCCCCAGCCTGGGCTTCTCCTTTGCTCTGTAATGCATTATATAGCTGATCTGGCCATTATTGAAAACTTGGTTAAGCACTAAGTAAGCTTAAACACTGTAATAGTGAACACTCTTAAGGAATCAGATAGGACCAATGCAGCACTTCCATTGGAATTTCTGACTGTGAAGTCATTGCAAAGTTGTTTCATTTGCACTTCAATACTTAACTACTAATTTGCTGATATAGCATTAGGATTGGCACCACTAAAATGTCAGATTATTATCAATATATCAAAATGTATTGTTCTGGGGAAGTATTTAATCCACTAATTTTCTTGTGGTGACAAGACTGCTCTGAATGTAGGTAAGCTTGAGCAAACCACAAGCTTGAGCAAACCTGAGATTCAGGGAGCATGTGTGGCCTAGAACAAACTTGTAGCCTTTCAGTTGTTGCTGTTCCTCAAGTCTCGTCAGCCCTAATCAGCACAGCCAATGGGAGTTGCAGTCCAACATCTGCAAGGCCACGAGTTGTACACTCTTGGCCTAGAATGTGTACTGAACCAGCTGTGTCTCATCAGAACACTTTCAGCCCCTCCTGGCCCTAAGTAGCCTAGCTGGCAAGGAACTGTGGGGAATGTAAAAAGATACTAATTCCATAAAGTGATAGCAAAGCCAATTCAATGAAGAGGTTGGTCCTGTGTAGGCAGGTTTCCAAGTTCTCATTTGAACTTCCTAGATCTGATGCTGCTATCCCATCATTATTTGCCTGTGTGGTACCTTTGAGGTATAATTAAATGAATCTTAAAAGGCTTTCATTTGGTAGTAAAAACAGCAAAAAAAAAGTTTATGTGGAAACCATCCTGAGTGGGAGTTCCCACCATTGTCCATGCAAATTTTTAAAAATGTAATGGAATGTTTTATATATAAGTCAAGCTTTAAATTATTTTTCCAGAGTTGCGGATTCTATATTAATGGATTGTTAAGAAGATTGATAAAACTGGTGGCCCAGCAATTGTGCCCCAATACCCTACTAGAGATCAACACTGAATCATTGATCCTCTGGTTACTTCCCAAATCATATTGAAAAAATTGGCTGAATATGTTTAATTTGATATAACTTCTACAAATGAAATGAACGGCCATAATTGCTAATAATAACTCTAGTCAGCAACTTTATTGTGATGTTAGTACATGACTGAATTTTAGTATTTGCTCATGGATTGAATAAATGAAGTTATTTGCTTAACCATCTTCTCTGTCAATTGTATCTATGATTCAAAGTGGCCCTGCCCAACTTGGTGCCCTCTAGATCTTTGGGACCTCCATTCCCATTGGACCCAACCAGCATGGTCATTGGACAGAATTTCTGGAAGTTGTAGTCCAAAACATCTGGAAGGGCACAAGATTGCAGAAGTCTGATTTCAGTCTGATTGACTGTCCACCAATGAGCTGGTATTAGTTGGTAGCTATGCCTTGCTGGACTGTGGCTTGTCTTCTCTTCTAGTATGAAGTTCCATACCACAGAGGCCTAATCTGTACCTTCTTAGACAGCAATCCCTGCTGCTGCTTTAACTGAAATGTTAGGTCCAGAGGAGGAAGCCAAGGGTTGAGTGAGACATCCTAGTTTTTTTCATGTAGATCAATTGGGGTTTATGTTAAAAGATGCAGAGGTTGTTCTTCAGATTACCATAACATCAGGTATGGGTGGTAGGAAATACATAGGTAGTGTATACATCCTTTCTGGATTCCTTAATAATATGTATTTATAGAAAGGGTTTTAAAAAATCATTGCATTCTTTGGCAGGCTGTATTGCAAAACTTCAAACATTTAACCACCAGTGAGACCTGGCAACATTGTCTTTCCATCTGCTAAGTAATTTTGCTATGTATTTGTTTATAAAATTTATCCTTTCAACAGAAAAATGTTAAGTCATTTAAAGTAGAATCTGTGCAGTCTCAGAGCCAACACAGAAATGGTCTTGATTGGTAAGCAACGTGTATAAATAAATATGTCTCCTTATTCTATGTGTACATAATTCTATGCATTGCATATATTATGCAGGAATGTTGGAAAGAATAAAGGTAACACAGCTGTGGATTGTGAACATTTGTTCTGGTTAGCGTGAATGTGACTTCATATGTGCATCCTAAAACATGTAAACTTCAAACTATAAGTTGCTACTGCATACTTGAAAGTAGACACACTGAGATTAACAAGCTTTGGAAATTAGAAATGCAGTTTGAAATAATAGCATATTTTATTGGAAGTAAGAAAAAGTCAAGCAGTTTAGTTTTAAAGCAGTATTTGCAGTGTTAGTAATAACTTAAAAAAGAATAGATATTGGTTTACCTAGTAAGTACAAGCAAAATAATGTTTAACAAAAGTGGTACAATATATAATGTATGCCTTAATGAGTTTCTGTGTAAATGTGGGAAGGAACGGATGGAAGGAAAGTAGACAAAGTTTTGATCCAGTAGGCAGGGGTACATAACTTTTAAACTGCTCATCTAATCACTCCCATGGAAGTCCTCTCCCAGGGCCTATCTGCCTCCCAGTGTAAGAGAGAGGCAGGGTTTCTATAGCATGGGGAAAAGACACACCCTTTATTGCCAGTCACTGGTAAGAGGTAAGTGTGGGGGTATTGTGGATGGATAAGTTCAAAGCGACCAAATCCCCACTGACCAAAATTTGGTAACAGCTTTTATTTTTCTTCAATGTTATTGTTTAAAATTGTTCTCAGATTTGTGTCTCTATGTGTGTGTTTGTATATGGTTTTTATAACCTTTGCAAACTGCCTACAGAGCTTAGGCTGTTGTGCTGTCTAGAACGTAATAAATAATTAAAATAAAAACCTTAAATTTAAAAGCCTGACAAGATCTCAGGTCAGTGAAAGCAGAGATGCAGAGTTCAGATTGGTTAATTGGTCAGCTGAGGACTTGGTAGAAAAGAGATGCTTACTGCCTACTGCTCTCATAGTCTGTGCAACTAGAATCTAATGTGTGAGGGTCAGTGAGCTTTTCAGCAGTGGAAAGCAAAGAGATTCCCTTGCAACATGCTGTGAGATTTCTTGAGGATGTGGGGAGGGAAAATTCCTCGTGTTTCATAATTCTGACTCCACTGTCTAACCCTGGTTCCAAGATTTATAATTGAAATAAAAATAATGAAGATGCTACTACTTATAGTTTCCCATCTGTTTTGTAATTAAAATGCAAAATTATTTAAAATGTGCCAGCAAGATAAAAGACAATGCAAAATGATTTGTGACATTTGAGTTTTGATGGTTAGGGGAAGAGTATGTCCCTGTGAAACACTCCTTGATAAGTGCCACAGCCATGATACAACATTTAACAAGTGATCTGAAGGACTTATGGCTTTGTTGAATGGAAAGCAACCCTCAGATTAGCCAAACCATATGCTATCAATTATTTGGGGGTTGGTTCCCCCTCAAAGCAGCCATGTAGCCTGTGTTTGGATGACCCAACAAACCTGTACCTGGATGGGCAATTAAACAGCACATGCTGGGCACCACTTGTTTAAGTTATAGGTCTGTATCTTCAGTGCATAAGTCCTTCATCTCAGTAGTAAAGGTCGTTTTGATATTAAAGATTGATTTCTAAGCAGTTGTGATATGGCATGGAGGTCAACTTTTCGAAGAAAAAAATCTACGGCCAAACCTTTGGATCCCAAGTTATATTAAGGGTCAATATATAGTAGTACTCATGTAGTGACTACAGGGCTGAAAACAGTATGCTGCTGTATCATATATATGTAACTTGTCAGGAAAACTTGCATTGTCTTTTATCATTGAAAAAAATATTCATCTTTTTTGTGTGCAGCTTGGCAAAGGAAAAGGTTATGTATGAAAAAGAAGCAAAACAGCAAGAAGAAAAGATTGAGAAAATGAAAGCTGAGGATGGAGAGAACTATGCAATTAAAAAGCAGGTAAAGAACTCCATAGCTCAGGAATATATGTTATCGATTTTTACAGAACTGAAAACACTTTCAAGAGGGGGTGGAATAAAGGGAAATAAGGCAAAGCCAGCTTACAAAATCAGAGCTTACTCAAGGTGCCTCTACCTATTTTCCTGAACTTCCCTCTCCCGCTAAATATTCCCTGACCCTCAAGAGCAGCTTGTCAGGGGGTGCAGAAATTTGCAGTGTGGAGGAGTGGGGTGGAGGATTCAGCTTGGCTAGTTTCAGAATGAATTGAATGTCAATTGAATGTTAACTTTTGGTCTCAAATGTTTCTCAGTCCTTATATTTCAGTGCCCCAAGTCAACTTTGAACAGATAAGTTTCCCTCAGTGACAGCACTAGAAAAAATAGTCACAATGGGATGGGTGGCAAAGCAGAAGCAGTGTACATTTTAGGGGTACCTCCCTGAACTTAAATATGTCTTGTGTTTTGTGCTTCAATCTGATACAGATCAGTTACTTGGAAGTAAGAACATTGGTTATAATAAGATCATAACTGCAGCCTCAAGTAGAATTCTTTACAATGTATAATCAATCTCTAAATGCTGCTTAAATTCAAGTCTTCTTTCCTGAATGCATAATATAGGAATCCATTGGGATCTTTGGTGCAAAAGTAGGTCTTCTGCAGCTATAACTATTTGCATTTAACAGATGCATAACATAAATTCAGTAACAGCAGCTTTCTCAGCATGGAGGTGAAATGACTGAAAGGGTCACCTGTTAAATAATTGCCCATGTTGTAGCTGTTGTGCAGGGGGTATGACAGAAAAGTCTGATAACCACAAATAGCAAGATGTGATGGAAGTTCTTTGAGAAATGGTTCAGTAAAAGGATCCAGATACTGCTGCCTCTGCCTCACATAAGCCAGTCAATACACTTCAGAATAGTGGGGCTAATGAGGATGGTATAAGGGAATCCTGGAAACAATATATCCAGTTCTGGAGAGTGGGTCAGTTTAGCGAGGATAATGAAAATCAAACATGCATTGAAAGATTAAGTTGAAGTACATTATACACACGACCATGTCTGTCCAAACTGGTGCAGTCACCAAGCTACCAGTGCAGCATACTTTTCTCATGTACATAAAGTTTTGGTTATCTCCAGGTGCCATTAAACATTACAAGATCTGGAATCATTCTAGCTTAGAAGGCACAGTTTATTAAGGCAGGACACTGAAGATCACTGGAATATGGAATTAGGTTTAAAAGAGAGTTCTTAGAATCAATTGTTAAGGCTTTTCTACTTTGGCAACAGCCAAAAGTTTTCTTTTAACTTTATTTCTTATAAACTGACTGAGGCCCCTTTTTCTGTCCTTCCCTCCTTCCCTTCTAGCAAAATGCATCAAGAGATTTTTTTTATTTTACATAAAATTATCCAATACAAATGAAAGAGAGGCAATTAAAAAGAGTTACAATTCTACAAAGCCATAACAAAAACCATGCATCCCATTGCCAGGACTATTAGATATCTGTTAATTCATTTACTCTTTCAGGAGCCCCCATCTTCCTTCCAAAATTACAGTAAATATTGTGAGGGTTCCAAACCTTTCCCTTTTATTAATACATATGCAATAAATAGTCCCCAAATGTCATCAAAATTATTCTTATTTATAAAGCCTTTTCTCACCTTAATATTGCAAGTAAACTTGTGATAGTTAAAAACTGTATTCCAAACTTCTCTATAGCAATCACACTACTGATAATCATGTTTTACTTTCCAATTCTTTGCCATAATTTCACTGCTGTTAATAAGTTTGTTATTAACTCTTTAATATTCCATCTCCATAGCAACCTATAAAATATTGACAATAACGTGATTCTGGGATTTACTTCAACATTTAAACTCAGTATTTTACTACTTTCTTTAAAAACTTCTTTCCAACATTTCATTATATACTTGCATTCCCACCACATATGGAAATATGTACCCACTCCTTGGGTACATCAACAACATAGATTGGAATATTTACTGTTCATAAGATTCAATTTTACCAGGGTTAGGTACCACTTCCATACTAGTTTATAAAAAAAAAATATTCTTGACATGCATTTTAAAATGTTCTTATCCCACATATTTTTCCAGTCTTCATTACTAATATTTGTTCTTAAATCTATTTCCCATGATACTTTAAGAGGATCTTCTAATAATACCTTATAGAGTTTGCTTACTCTTCCTTTCATCTGCATATTGTCTTGTTTTTTCCTTTCCCACTATCATGTCTTCAGATTTAGTATAAGCTCTTCATCCACTCTTTTTCTTAATCCAAACTACTACTTTTATCTTTTACTTTTTATTCATTTTCTCTAACCAGTCTTTTAACCTAATTTGTTTATTCTTAAAACTTTCAAATTCTTCTAATTCTATAATTGGATATAATAGTGAAGTTGATGGTATAAATATTTCCTTATATTTTTTCCAAATTTGTATCATATTCTTAAGGAAAGGATTTTCTATCACTTTTATAACATGCTTATTATCATATTTAAAATACTTTTAACAAGAATCCCTCAAATTGATGAAATTCTAGTTTTGCCTATATTTCCTTATAATATATGGTATATATCTCACTTGTTCTGCTACATAGTATAACTTTATATTATGACATCAAGAGATTTCAGGGAGTGATTTGTCCTTTTCACTAATATACCTACTTTGTACCATCTCCATAAATCCTGGCACTGAATATAGAAAGCCATCTTGCTTGGCTTGAATTGAAGCAAAATTACCAAGTCATTATCAGTAAAGAGGTGAACCACTAGTTCATAAGTCAGGTAGCACAGAGCCAGGAAACCTTGTACTCTCCAGAGGTTTTGAACTACATTTTGCGTAAGCTTCAATGAGCATGGAAAATAGGTTCTGCAAGTTGTATTCCAAAACATGTGGAGGAGAACAGGTTGGCTAATCCTGTGGTCTTACATGTTACAGATTGAATACAGATTATTGGTAGGTGGAAATTTGCCCATTCCAACTTTCATGTTGGAGGAAGACATGGGCAGGCAGTCTTTGCAAGTTCCTTCTTTCTGCTCTGCCCTGAAAAGCTGCTCCACAGCACTTCATCCTTTATGTTTCTGTCTGATTTTTGCAGTCTTCAGGAGGTGCACTTTTCATGGTGCCACATGGTCCTGAAGTCCTAAGGAAGCATTAGTAATTGAACATTTAGGGCACAAAGCCTTTGACACTGGCTGGATAATGCTGGGACTTGCAGAACTCCTTTCTGTTTGACTAACATAGCTTATACCTTTAGTGTTACAGCCTTCACTGGAATGCATACCCTTTAACATCAGAGTGGATGAAGATTTAAGAAAGATTTAAGAAAAATGAAAATCAGATGTTTTAAGAACATCAAATAATAAATTTTTTTCTGACCAAAAATAGCTTGAGTGCAATTAAATCACATTATAAACATGATAAACCTACACAATCTCATAACAATGTAATTATCTAACCTATCAAATATAGGCATTAATTTCAGATTTTAATTACATGAAAATGACACTGTCCAGCTTAGCTAATGGCTCTCATTCTTGAGAGTTCTTTCAGTTTCTCTGACTAAATTCATATGAGCACTGGCACAGACTGATTAGGACTCTTGTTCTGTGCTTATGTGTTGGTCCAGTTGGGCCAAGCAAGGCAGAGGATTTTTTTTTTTCTTAACTGACTTAACTATATCAAGGGTGGAGAAAAAATTATGCTTAAAATAAATTAAGGAATTTGGATTTTTTTAAAAATGGATTTTTTCAGCCCATTAATATTATATTTTGCTTTCAACTATCAATCATGGGCATTTCTTTTTTGTTTGTTGCTTAGTTTCTTGTGAGGTTAAGACTAGTCTAAGTTTGAGCAAGTTAATTTTCATGTGCCTGGCTCATCATGGAGTATTTAACTTCTGGTGAACTGGGGACCATTTTTAATATACAGCCCTATGTAGGAGCTGCTGTGTCATGTGAACTTGGCTACTATGAGATATTTTAAGGATTAAACAGCTGTTGCATAACCCTGTGATAAACCAGTTAAGTGAAGGTTGTTTAACCCTGAAATAACTCACAGTACCCAGATTCACAAGATATAACAACTCCTGTTTGGTACACTATGGTTGTCATAAGTTAAACAAACCTCTTTGAGCTCAATGTGGTGCCCAAACTGGGTGAGAAGAACAGAGCAACACTAGAAAGAAAAAAAGATGACAGTGTTCAGTATGTACCTTCCTGTATTATACTAAGACTGCAATCCTTTACCCATGTACCTGGGAAGAAGCCCTACTAAACTCAGTAGAACTTACTTCTGAGGAAATAATCTCTAACTGACATAAGTGCTAGTCATCAGGAAGATCCTGTAAGGGAAAATGTTGAAGACATTTCCTTTTGGTAAAAAGGAAAGCATGCAAAATATTCAGTAAGACAAAGAGATACAAAGCCTGCTTAATGTGAAACAGTAGCTTAGTGGGCAGATTTGCACCATTCTTCACAAAATATATGAAAATTTTTGTGTAGAATTTGATTTAAACCAGCAGTTTAAATATTTTCCTTTCACTTAGATTGATATCAGAAAGGCATCTACAGTTTTGATTTTAGATGTCTCCTTACCCATTTCATTACAAAGGGTTTCCCTGAGGTCTGTAATTGTCTTATTGCTGGTTCTTTTGTTGTATTAATGGTTATTTTGTTGTAATATTTTAATACTGGTGTCGTCATTATATTCACTGCTTTTTTCTTTTATATTTTCTTATCCTTTGGTCAAAGTAGTATATACATTTATGAAATAAAGGAATAGGTGCCAGCCATATTTGGGACACATTCTGTTCATAGCTACAAGCACTTGCAGTTGTGCACATTGAATCTCATTAATAGCTTTATGTATTTTCATTGCTGTAAGAATCTTCATGCTTAATAGATTTGCTAATTGATTTTCATTTCTAACCAGGTTGAATCCATTACAGAATCAGCTGTTTATGCCACCTTTTCAGTGCATGAATCTGAGGTCTAAAAATATTCCAAGAAATAAAATAGGATGATTTTCTGTGCAATTATAAAATTGTCTTTTGTAGATGTATGCAAGATGTTCAAATTCAGTGGGGTGCCAAATCAGTAAATTTGTTCAAAAAGCATGGTGAGAATAATATCTCTCGTAAAACGAAGCCCAAGGATGAGTAATAACTTTTTATGCATGATAAGCATCAAAAATATGAGCCTGCTGGTCTTTGCTTTTCATTTTTCTTTACCTTTCTCGTTTAGTCAGAACCTCCTGCAGTGAGCATACAATGTGATCAATAACTCAATAATTTTTTTCATGCAGTAATTATCTCTGTGTGGTATTATCTGAACACTGTTTTTATTTATTACCCAAAAGATGCAGGAGATATTTATATAACCAGCTGATCCCATTTTGGACGAAGCTGTTTGTGACAGCAGGGGAAATAGTTTGTATTAAATAGTTTTTAAAACAAATATTTCATGGAAAACACTTGAACAGTTCTTGCTTTGGTTATAAAAAGTATGATTTCCTTAATAAAATATGTATGTATGAGTATACAAAGCAAATGTATTTGTGTGATTATAAGCCGCTAGTATAAATCATAAAGTTGTGTGTTCACATTGAGCAGTTTGTGCCCTTCATGAACTTCCATTTTGCAGACTGAGATCTTGCAAGAATCTCGAATGATGATTCCAGATTGCCAACGAAGATTAGAAGCTGCACATGCTGATCTTGCTCAGCTATTAGTAAGTATAGAAGAAGGGCTGTGAATGGAATAATTTTGTTGTTCTGTCAATTTGAAAGCAGATAATCAGCTGATTAATCTTATATATGCAGCTTTACTACTGAAACATTATTTTATTACTTTTTCACTAAAATATAGATACTTCACTGGAAGTAGTGTAAGAACTCAGAAATAAAGCAGCCACTTCTCAATAGCTAGCAAGCCCATTTTAATTCTCTTCCTTTCTGTTCCCAAAGCACAAAGCATGTTCTTTAATTTTCACCCACAGAATTTAAAAACTTATCCCCAAAAATAATCTACTAAAACTTGGAACAACACTTCAATTAGCTAAATTTTTGGAATGATTAAATCTTGTAGCCTTAAATTTCTGTTGTTTATCTTTTCTTTTTGGGTTGGTGCAATGGTAAAACTGATGAGCTGCAATAGATAGAGGGTCAGATTGGTTTAGGGAGACACTGGCTTAAATTCTTACCCAGCCATACAACCGATTGCTGTCTCTCTCAGTAAAATTTTTATTGAAGAGTTGTTGTGAAGATAAAGTAGAGGCAGCAAGAAAGCCATGTACACCATGCCAAAGGATGGCAACACAGAAACAGGATATGACATTCTGTGTGTCTTCTGCTTTGTGACACTATCACCCCACCAACCTTTCAGAATTGAGTTTTCTTAATTATGTGCTTTGGCATGGCTTATCATATTATCTAAACCCATGTGGCATAACTTGTTTGAAGGGGAAATAACCTTCAAGTAGTCTATGGATCTGATGTGAAAGAAAGGCAAACAAGCCACCATGACTTATTTAAAGTAAAAAGTTTGGTCTTTGTGGCCCCTTTGTGTGCTCTGTGTCTTAAGGTGAGCCAAACAGAACATTTTACCAACTTCACTGTTTTTCTTGATGTTAGTGTACTGTATTCCCATGGTTCAACTTTCTTCTACAGAGCTTTAAACTATATATGTTTTCTGTAGATTGAAAGTTTGTGCATTTTAATACAAATAGTTAACTATAGGTGAAATCCAGTACTCACATGAGTGTACTTCTGATCATGCAGCATGACTTTCCCTTCTCCCATCTCTTTGTGCTTCCAAAATTTGGGTCCTCTACCCTCCAGAACTATTTTGTCAGCAGGAGGGGCTAACTGGTTACATTCCAAGTAAGAGTAATGAATTTATTTTTAATTATTACACTTGTGTGGCATAAACATTGTATCAACATTTTTGTTGAATCTAGAACTATATTAAAAATCTTGCCAAAGAAAACTTAATATTGTATACTTCTCTAAGAAGAGATAATTGGCAGCTATTTTTGTAACAGATTACAAGGATGTAGATGTAGCTTGCCTTTAAAAGAACAAATAAGTAAATTGAAATATTTGGTGTGCCACTCATCTTGATTGCTGGTATATACTCTTTCTCAAGCTAACTGCTCCAGAGTTTGTTGGGCTACTAGCTACAGTATGTGCATTAGTAGACATTCTACTGATGTTTTTGAAAGTTTCCACTTGGTTGCTTTTTCTATTTTCCTCTCCAACTCTTCTTCCTATACAAAGCTAGTAAGCTGAGACAGGTCAAGTTGGGAAAACCAACATTCGCTCTCTATCATAAGCTGCTATAGCCTTGGGAAGTGTTTCTTGAGCTGGGCCACAAGGCAGCATGAATCTGAATCAGTCCCACAGATTGTTCTCTGTATGTCTTTGCCTTTTCCTATTTTTCCTCTCTCTGTGAGGGCAAAGAATGACTAATATAAAGAAACAATTATCAGGCTGCAATCCTATGTACATTTAGACAGAAATGATACTCCTGGCTGGGAACTGGTGGGAGTTGTAGGACTTTTTTCTGTCCAAACATGCACAGGATTGCTCCCTTAATCATGCACAAGTTCTCCAAGAGGACTAATGCTTAGATCCAACATTACTCTACTTGCATAACTTGTGCTGCTCAAACACTGAAGCAGTCAGTCTCTGCAGAAATGTATTTTTGTTTAACATTTCTGCCACATACTTTCTGTTTCAGTGACCCTCAATGTGGCTTAACTACATGAAATTACAATTTCTTTAATGTCTGGATTAAGACTTAGCAACTCCTTTAGTTTGTTTATTAAGTTTATATCCCATCTTTCTACATAAAGAGTACTCTGAGTAGTTAACAGTCTCATTTAATCCATGAACCCTAAAACATAAGATTTGTAATCAGTAAAATAAATACATTAAGATATTGTTAACAGAAATAGATAGAACCAATAAAAAATAGATAATTAATTTGGCAAACAGAGCTTATAATTCTGCTGAAATAGAAACGATCCTAACAACCCTTCGGAATAGTCTAATATCCTGTTTCCCCACAATAGCTGACCAGATATTTCTGACAAGCCATAAGGAGACACTAAAGATACAGTAGACTCTTTTAACTGGAACTCAAGCAACTAGCAAAAAAATTGAAGAAACAGTACTTAAAATTAAAATTAAATCAACGTCTAGCAGAAATGTATGTTTAAACTTGGTGTGGCACACACCATGTTGTGACTGGGAGTAAGCCCATGCTTCGTGCACCACATTTTTGTCTCCCGTGTGTAAACAAACCGGGCAGTTGGGATCTTTTGTTGTTGAAGTTTTGTGTCCTCACCCAACCCCAAACATGCCGAAACAGGTCCCAAGTAAGGATGAATGCATAGTACTTACTCTCAAGCAGAAGATGGAAATGCAAAAGGCTTGAGAAAGATGAGAGTTGTACAGTGCTCATGGAGGAATTTAATGTTGGTTTGTCAATCTGAGAAGATAGAAATTTGTCTTTATTTGTCTTAGTTTGCTTTTAATTACTATATTTCAGTATTAATAGCAAGTCAGTACGTACGGTATGGTACGGTATGGTATGGTATGGGACTAACTATAATATTAGACCTATTTTTAACAGTAACTCTCAAGCATCCAAAAACTACAATTGTCCAGCATCTACCAATCCCCATGGGTGCTGGTTAACTGAGAATCTACTATAGTAATAGTCTCCCACTTTTCTTCCTCAATAACGTATCCAAATTTATATTTTTGTTCTAACCTAAAAAGCCCTCTGACATATTCTGGACCAACTGATCTTTCGATACACGTCCTAAAGGAATTTGCAAGTAGAGTATAGTTATAAGTAGAATATATTGCAGTATTCCAGTGTTGTCAGTATATTGCATAATGATATCATCTCCAGATATGGATACAGCTAGGTACTTCCAGCTGTGGCTGCCAACTGTACTTCCAGGAGAAAAGCTGGATCCAAGGGTATCCTGATGATTATGAATCTGATTTTCAAGGAGATAGTTACCTTGTCCAAAAAAGCTGATTTCCTTAGCAGCTCTGTTGTTTAGGGATATGTTTGTACTGTCTGGATTATATGTTTGTTTAATACATTTTCATCCCCAGTAACCAGTGTAGTACGTCAATAGCATTCTATCAACAGATAAATGCAGCTGGATCTTAGCGACTTATTTATGACATCAATCTTGAAATTCCCAGACAGTCTCGCTTAGAAAAATATGGATATTAAACAAAATGGGGAACAGGGTAGATCCCTGATCCTGAAATCCACCAAGAAGACATTCCTCCTGTTTAGTTCCCATTGTAGCTCATCTGCCAAAGATATTTCCATCTCATAAGCAGGCCTCAGGATGGATTTAGATGCATCTAGATTACTCATATACCCAGGAAACTCAGCTCTAAGCTTCTGTCATTTTGTTCTAATGTTTCTGTTGCTGCATAGAGTCATACATTTTTAATTTTTGTCTCTTTGCTTCTCTGGGTGTAAGCATATTTTAATTGACTGACTTGCTACCATTTTATGATTTGAAATAACCCAGATAGGAGTTATGCTTAATTGTAACATTTGTTTCCCCCTAAATCTTCTGCAATCTCCCCCTCCTTAAACAAGGAGGGGGAGATTGATCTCTTGGAAGTGTCCAGCTAAAAATTGAATTCTAGTTTTTAACTTCATTATTTAGTTTTATTCTAGCTTCTCTTGATGTGTCTACTTTTAATTCAGTTTTGTTCTGATGATTCCTTTTAATAGAAGTTGACCAGACTTGATAAAAATAATTATCAGAATAACTCCATTTGACATTATATGTTTTGTATGATTTAGAGTGCAGTCTTATGCATGGTTGGCTGGAGGGATACTGGGAGCTGTAGTACCTTTTTTGTTTAAATATGCATAGGATTGTGCCCTCATGTACTTTGGGCTGAAGTTCATGGGGTTTACTACAAAGGAAAAATCATATACAATATATATTATTGCAGAAATATAGTTTCTAATAAATGCTATTTTAAGCAATCCAAATTATTACTGTTAATACCTCCATTCATTTGGGTTGATCAAACAACATAATAGCCCACCATGAGTTTATTTAACCTTATGGTGAAACTTCTGTACATGCGGCTGCCATTCTGAATATGCAGCCCCTTCTTGGCATTTATGTTGTGCAAACTCAGTAAGTGTGGATTCTGCAGGCTTGAACAATCATTGAATAAATAGTGTTCAGTCATAGGTTTATGTGTAAGTCGTTTAAGCCTTGCATAACCCATGCTCCTTGTTGGAGTTATGTGACATGACACACTGGTCATTCAGTTGATACAATGCAGCTCTAGCCCTTGCTTCACAAACATTCAGCTTTTGTAGGATGGCAGTTTGTATATACAATTGTTTTAGGAGGATGGAACTTGAAACCGCTGTTTTAAAAATAGTGGAAAGTCTTTTAAAATTGTGTTTCATTTCAGGAAAATGAAAAAGAGTTGGAAGAAACTGAAGAATATAAAGATGCACTCTCAGTACTCGAGTCAGTCAAGTTAGAAGCCTAAACTGATTTTTCAGTACTTCATGTTTGCCTTGGTATTGGGTCCATGGCCGCTCCTTACTTATGTTTGGCCATTGTTGTATTTATTCAAATGATGCTGAGAATGATAGTGTGCTGAAACTATATTTTAGGCTATTACAATTGATTTAGCCCTTCTCTTTCTTTAAGATTCTTTTGGAAGTGTTTTATTGAAAATTGTATAATCATAATACAAATAAAAATAGAGAGAAGCAAAACAGGAGAACATTTTTCTAATGATTTTTAATGCAAACAGTATCTTCAGGATTAAACCAGGCTATCAGCTGGGGGTTTCTTCTCAAAATAACTAGTGAGATACAGGGAGCCCAGTCAGAAATGAGGCCCTTTGGCAACTGTTACAAATGAGTCATGTCAAGCTTGGCCATTCCTGGAGTTTGGCTTTGTGTTGCAGGTTTTTCTTTTGACTACCTGATCTCAAAATTCTGTATGCCAGTTATGTATCAAGGATCATGTTCCTCAGTCACTGTGCTTACACTTTTCATGCATTTGGCAGTGGCAGTATGGAATAGTGGTTAAGATTGTTGGACTTTGGTTTGAGAGAAAAGGGCTCCAATTCCTGCTTAGCCACAAAGCTCAGTGGCTGACTTTAGGTCAGTCACTGATTCTTAGCCTAGTCTCAAGAGTCATTCTGAGGATAAGATGGAGAAGAAATAGATCATGTAAATCATGTAAACCACTTGACTTGCAAGAGAAAAAAAGAGTGGGATATAAATGTAATAAATGAATAAAATAAATTAAAATTATGGTATCATGCTCTTCTTCAGACAGATAAAGAGGTCTGTTTGAAATTGGCTTGGAGAAAAAAATTAATCTCAAATCCCCAAGGGGATACAGTTTAATGTTAGTGGATATTTCACTAAATATTTCCTTCCAAAAGGATAAAAGCATTTCATCTCTACTAAACATACAGAAAACAGCCTTTCTCTTTATACCTATGCCAAGAGAAAGATAAAATTGTTCTGTGTAGGTATCATAGAGATGAAACTGTGCATAGGAAGCCAACAGTGTATGGCTTTGTTTCACAGAAGATTCCATAACTTTTGTGGAGTTTGCTCTAAGGGGCCCTTAAAAGCAGATGGGTGGCCACTGGTGTGTGAGGTACCCTGGTCAGTTTCCCATGCAGTGTGTAATCTCTTGCTATGCTGCAGGATTCTGATACTAAGGTTCAGTCTGTGGGACTTGAGATGTGTGTAATGAACATTTTGCTCAATGACACTTAAGGAAAGCAGAGTATGCTGGGCAATGTGGCAGTTGATTGCAAAGGCTCTGATTTTGTGCATTTGCCACAAATTTGCCTTTGCATTTGGGAGCTGGTCAATTAACAGGAATAATTAGATGGCTCTCTTTCTCAAAGAAGTCTCTTAGCCTTATTGCTGTCACAATTTACATGCAACATGTCTTTGCTACAAAACAGAGTGCTCTGGAAAAAGGGGAGAGTAGAAACTGATGGGATTAATTAACTTCTATGTTAAATAAGTAACATAAACAAGAATGGCTCATCTCTGAGGGAGGAAAACTGGTTTGATTTAAGATGTAGTGTATCATAGCACAGTTCAGATTTGGGGCACCAAAACTGCCACTTAGAGGTGGCCTGTAAAAAAAGAACTTGCACCTTGACATACTGTTGCAGAAGTCTGTGCCATTTCCCAAAAATAAATAGAAGGTGCTATCATTGGCATAGTTTGGAAATAGAAATTTAATTGAGGAATTGTGGGCAAGTGTATGGGTTGCTCTCTTCATTACCTTGATGATGCACAGCAGGGGTTTCTAAATCCAGTTGACCTAGGAGATCACAGACTTCCTGGAAAATGGCTCCCTGCAGTGATAAAAGATCCCCCAAGCTTCACAAGCAGTTTAAAGGGCAACGCTCATGTACACACTTCCTTCAACTGTTCTTATATGGTCTAAATGTACTATGGTATAGGTTCCACTCCTTTGCATACAAAGAGCAACAAATCCATGTGCCACCAGAGTAAAGTCTAGAAAGCCTCTGTCTTTTCTTCCTGTACAGACAAATTATGTCTTGAGGCTTGGCATTTTTAATGGATTTGGCACTAAGGTGCACTTTCAGAATCTGACTCAGAGGTCTAGAAGAAACTATAAAGAAGCCATATAAAACATTATGTTAAGGAGACTGTTTCAGCTTGGCTACCTTCTCTGCTGCCCAGACATTCTGATGTTTACATTCCCATTTTCCATATCATCCCATTTTTCAGCTTCCTCCCTCGCTGAACTATTTGACTGCTTAGTTTTGATTTATTTAATCGCATTTTATAGCCATTTTTTGTTTCAACCATAGGTAAATTTACCTGTGGGCACTCTCACATTGTGAGAAGCAAGTATGGATGCCTTTTTTGCATGGTGCCAGCATCATGACTCATGTGGTATAAGCCTAAGCAGATGGTGTTATTGGAAGGCTAGACAACCCTCAACCCAAGGCTTTTTAGTTATTTGAGGGTTGTTTAAACTCCCCCCCCCCCACACACACCCTCTGCTATTTGGATTTGCACAACATGGCAAGCCATAGCAAACAGGGCACCTAGCATGACACAGCAGTCCCTTTGGGCAAATTAACCTTCAATGAGCAGTTGTGATGTGAGAAGACGTCCACTCTGTGCTTAATTTTCGTTGTAAGTACTGCAGCTGTGAAGCAATTTCAGTTACTGAATCTGAGCCATCAGCAGTGTTCACTTCTTTCAGTAATTTGACACCAGGTGGAGGCCTTCCTTGTGATGTATCCTCCAAAATACAATTTATATTTAATATATATAAAAATTGTTCATCCCACGGAGCCACCAAAGTGATGTCCAAAACAAATAGAAACAACAAAACAGAATTTGTAAATGTTTTTTCATGATATGACAAAGCTTTTCAAAGCGTTCCTTATTAGGTTATTAAACTGCACATCTGCAGTAATTTAAACTCTTTAAGATTTTAGTCCAATGAGACCAGGAGTTCCTGATTTATCACTCCCGTCAAGCTTAATGCCAAGCCTTGAAGACTTGTTCAATAAATGAGTTGTTTGATTTGTGCTTGCTTTCCATACAGGTAAAATACATTTCACTGGCACCTTTTCCAAAATAAGTACATTTTTATTTATTTATTATTTATTTATTAAAACATTTTTATGCCGCCCCATTTGCCGAAGCCTCGGGGCGGCTTACAACTTTCGAAGCATTGCCTGTGTGGTGGAGGGCAGGAGAGCTAACAGCAGGTGGGTCTGGCGTAGCACAAGGGGGAGCAAGCTCAACCGAGTTAGAAACAGGGTTGCTGGTTTCTCCGACATACACAGTAACATGCAGGCAGACCTTTCAGCACACAGTGCTCTAAAGTAGCATGGCAAACTGTGAGGCATGCAAGGTAACTTCAGGATTGAAGACTGAGTTCAAAACACGGCAGAGGGAGGTGTACATCTCTGATCTATATGACATAAAAGCAGGAATTTGAATTCACTTGTGTCTCTAGGAAGCCATTACGTAGAAAAGGCAAACTGAGGAGAGTTTGAGGGCTTGTCAAGCACATGGCACTCTCTCCATGATTGCTGCCATGAAAAATTGAGAAGTTTCAGAGCAATGTGTCTGTCAGATACTGCTTCTAACCAGGCTGTTTCCACTATTCACCCAGCCAAGAGAATGCATACACTCACAATGCCAGAAGCACAAGATCATTGAGTCACTCACTGTCACACCTGTAGTCTATCTCCCATCTGCCTCAGTAAGCAAGAGTAAGGAGATCAAGGGCTCCATATCCAGCCTGTACCACATTGCATGCCTCTCCCCGGCCTCACTTGGATGACTGCGAAACTAGAAACTAAAAGATGACAATGCTGGGCTGAAGCAGAAATACTCAAAACCCTCAAAGACTGCTGTTGGCTGTGGGTGTCCTTCATGAATATCCTGTTCCCAAGGGAAGCATTGTGTCATGGCCATAACCTCCAAGATTCCATGACTCCCACCCCTCCTGTTGATTGCTTGGCTAAAGGGTGAGGCTTCAGAACATGTGCACTTACTGTGCATGTATAATCATCAGCCCAGGCAGAAACAACATCCAAAACAAGTGGCAGCTACTGAATGTGAACGGGCGACCTACTAAAGAGGTAATTTCTGAGAAAGGATTTTTTTCACTTTCTGTTCTTGTGGAAACCAAGGCCAGATGGGTGGGAAGGTCGTCCCCTGGCTGCCAAAGTTAAAAACTGTTCCTGCTTTGACACTTAAAGCATTTTAAATATTGTTGAGATTACAAGATCATGTAAACATGTGTGAAACATTAACTGAAAAATAAACATGTATACTACTTTTTACAGTGTATTTATTTCTACGTAGCCTACTATTACTACTACTACTGTTAGAAGTGAATAACATCTATTTGCCTATGTAGGAACAGGGTGATTACACCAATTTGGAGTATGTGCAGATTGTCTGTTAGGAAGCAACATGCCAGAAAACTCAGAAATGTCAGGTGCGTGATGTATGTATTGAATCCTGAGATGTTTCCTCCACTACTTGAGGCAGAATTGTAGGAATTAGGTACATGTATATTCAGATGCACATACATTTGTCCTTCACCTTGGATTGCACTTGCAGGAATACATTCTCTTTGTGTTTAAAGGTCTGCTTGCAATGCTGCTGTTACAGCCTAAAGGCAGTAGCAACATCGTTTGAAAAATGTTTTATTGGGAAATAATTTGTCTAACATTTCTCTTGAAATGAAGTTCTTTTCCTCTTAGGGGAGCATCATGTGGTAACTATAAAGTTATCAGGTAACTTAATACCTGGACATTGTGGAGAGGGAGAAATTTAATATGGAAGGAAATTCCTAAACTCAAATGGAACAAAGTGAAAAATTGTGTGCATGCTGCTTTCTTTTTACTAAAAACTTCCAGGAGTGAGCATCTCACATGTAGAATAGCTTAATAAACATTTTAAATGAAGTAATTGATCCATTTAACACTATCTTATACTAAATGTCCAGGCTGGTGAGACAGACTGGACTTCAACCTGTTGCATTTATGCTTGTTGGACTCTCAAAATCTCAAGCAAGAAATGTTGTGTATTGTTAAAGCTGCTCACTTAGACATCTTTAACTATCTAGCAATATGTGCTGCCCTACAGAATTAGCAGCCTAAACTTTCTATGGATCTCTGGTGCCTGGCCAACTAAAATGAACACAGGCAAATCTTTTCAGTCCTTAGTCAAGGATATG